CCTTAAATAACAGTACCAGAGACTTGTGCCCCACTACAGTCCCTGGGAGTGATCAAACATTGCTCACTGCTGCACACACTCAGTACGTTTACATGACACTCGAGAAAACCGAATTATTGCCTTATTCCGATTAAGACTGGACAACTGAAGTGCATGTTAACAACTTAGTCCGACTATAATCGGAGTCAGAGAACTCCGATTGGAGTCAGAGAACTCTGATTAAGACACCCAGATAATGCAATTCGAATTTGATTTTCTCTACCATGTAACCAGCGTAGTCGGAGGATGATCGAACAATGTGCACATGCGCAAACAAAACAAAAACACCAAAGAAGAGGGGTATCATGCATCTCATCTGCAGAAAAAGTAGCGCGTACATCATGTACAACAAAAACAACGCTGTACGATGCTCCATCTTCTTGCTTGAAAATGCCCAGCAGCAGCTGTAGCCATTTCTGACGTCTGGCACGGACCTGCTATTGTTGTTGACAGATGTATGGGGTCGGAAACAGTGCTGCTGAAAAGACCCATATCACCCCCTAATTTTGGGGAGGCGGGCACATTTAGGACAATAACTTAATTTTCTCAGCTGCATGTATACACGAAAAAGGAGAGAAGTCCAATTCGGGTGAAAAAAAAATAATAATAATTATGAGCTTCATCCGATTAAGCTGTACATGTAAGCGCACTGACTGGCAGGCTGATCCAAAATCAGAAATGTGAACAGCTTAAAAGAAAACAATAGGTGAATAAATGTATTGTTTTACAGTAATTTAAGAAAGGCAACAAGAAGAATACAAGTCAACTTATGTTAAGTAAAGTTTGTGCATGTTGCTGTTTTCCCTGTGCTGCTGTAAAATAACCTGATGCTGTTTTTAATCTGTGAGAACTACCTGAGGGATCATGTGGCAACATCAAAGTACAAAACTGATAAAACACCCAAGAACACTGGTCTACAGGGTTTGTGAATGGGCTATTGAGTGTTGCCCCCTCTGATTAAGAAGGAGCTTTAGCTGCATAATTTACAACTGTTCATCTCTCACTCTCAGATAACATTTTAGAAATGATCAGTTCATATCACAGCAACAGAGGGACTTAAATACCAGGGTTTTTATAGCCTGTGTTGATATTGTCCTCATGATAAACAACCTGCATGAGGCTCCCTCAGCATCTGAATCAATCAGCACAGCTCTATGCATCCAATAGCTGCCTAATTGATGCACTAATCCAGTCACTAAGTACTGCAGCTCTATGGAGTCTGCCCAAAGCAAACACTACAAACACACACACACACACACACACACACACACACACACACACACACACACACACACACACACACACACACACACACACAGTCATCAATGAGTTGCTTCTCAAACAGCAGAGAGCAGCAGGACTGACAGAACGTCTATGAAGTATAGATCAAGAGGAGAAGTGCAGCGTCCTGAAATCAACTCCTTCAATCTGAAAGAAAAACAATTTCTCGTCCAATCAGCGATCAGGAAACAAGGCAGGGACACTTTTTTCATTGTTGTTAACATTATTCTCAATACTTCTCTTGTGTCAGCTGACATTGTTCACTCAGAAAAGTGAAAAGAGTTCATGTCTTGTAGTGTATTTATAAATGTGATTGCTGAGTACTGACTAAGTTTCCTGATATCTCCTCATGTCACACAAAGATAATGAAAGGTATCATTTGGTCCAATTTGAGGCTTGTTATTTTTCTTTTCAACTGTGTAGTCTGTAGCACTATTAAGGACCAGTGTACATAACTCATTGCTGTGTATTCTGTTTAAAAGCAAAGGAAGAAAGCTTGAAAGATTTATATAGTATACTTATCTTTTTAATGTTTCATTTAACTGACTGCAAAACATGTGTCAAAGTTGCCTGCCTCACCTCACCTCTCTCTTTTCATACCTATGACTAGGGCATGTGAGCTGAATTTGGGGGTTTAAGAACTTTGTGAGAGAACTTGTGGATTTAGAAATGTCTGATAGTTATTCACATTTTTATTGTGCTTTTATCTAATAGTCTAACTGCTGTTCCTTTTTCTACTGATTATTACACCGGGATGCACCTGTTTGCCCGCGTATCTATTTTTGGTCCCTTTGCAAAAACACTGGAAACATAATTCAGATCCCAATTTTATTTGAAACTCAAAAGGCTAACATTTTGTTTTCTTTTAGACTTTAATAATTTTTTTTTTTTTAAATGTTTCCAAAAACCAAGGTCATAATAATAGAAAATAAAAACGGTGTGCTCTGATGGTAGCTGATGAGCTGTCCATGTCGTTTTACCTTTATATGACCTGCTGTTCCTAAAGATATTCACTTTCCATGTTTCCCTTTCTTTTGAGAAGTTGCTCATAGATGATAAGCAATTAAATGATTAGACATGATGGTGAGCTGTCATATTTGTGTCACTTGAAATCTTGAACACAGAATTTGAGCTTTAGAGCAGAATTTCAGCAAAGACAGAGAGAAAGGAAACCTAAAAATGAAAATGTTTGATAAGTTTCTAAATTCTAGGAGTTTGACACTTTTAAAATGTAAGTAAAATAATGATTTATGACCATTTCCTCTTGTTTAAAACTCTGCTATGACCACAATACCAAACCCTTCAAAATGACATGTAAAAGGCTTAAAAACCACGACTCTGTGTTTGTTTTCAGGGCAAACTGCAGATTTAGAGACCAATAACCCACCTTGTGACTTTAACGTGTTAAACTTTCTTATTTGTGTTGATGTTGATCCTTATGACCTCACGTCTCTAACTGAGAAATGATGTCCTGAACTATGTACTGAAAGGAGCAGAAAACATTGTCATTGAAGGTGCTTTTTAAGGACTAGAGTTTAGCACGGGTCCTTTCAGCATGCAGCTGAGACAGCAGAGGTGTGTGTGTGTGTGTGTGTGTGTGTAGGAAGAGAAAGAAGGAGAGTTGGAGGCAGGAGGAGATAGGAATCGATCGTGGAAGTGTGTTCCTCCCCACCAACGCCGAGGTTAGAGGAGAGGCCTGCGCAGAGGAATGTCCTACTGAGTAATTATAAGAGCCTGTCTCTTAACACACACACTGACCCGGCTTTCAGGCCGACGCGTGTTAATAATCAGAGCTCATAATGAACAGAATCCAGAGGTCTGCTGGGTTAAGGTCCTCTACAACCTTGCTCCAAGCTACAACGACAACCAAGAAACAGCACACTGAGAGAGTCACTGAGCTTTGTGTTTGAGCTGTGCTGCGCTACTGCCCCCTTGTGGACAGAGTAGAACTCCTCAGAAGGGTTTCATCAGTTTCTCTGATATTTTGTAGCTGACTAAACTCACTTTAGTATTATTACATTAAGTGGATAACATTTCTTAAAAGGGTGTAAAATACCATCTTTTTTTAATGAAGTCTGAGCCATGGGGACAAAAGTTGTATTTTGTTTAGATTCCTGGTGTTTGATGGCATCTCACCGCTGCGCTGTTGTCTCATTAGTGAGCGTTTTATTTCTATTTTCTCTCATTACTCATGGTTGATTGTTTTAGCTTGCTCTTTAAAAGTTCCTCTGAAGGACACGCTGGCCCGTGTTTGATCCAAAAGAAAAGCTTCTGGAGTCTGAAGTGATAAAAAGTGAAAAACTGGTTTAAAGGTGTCAGAGCCCAGTGCATTTAAACAGCACAGTTTGTTGTGTCACTACAGATAATTCAGGGTGCCCATGCTGACCTCTGTTCAGTCCACCAGCATCAGAGCTGGACTACATTAGGCTCTTTTGGTCCTAGTTTAAGGGGGGGCTTTACATATTATCAGGCAGGTGTTCGTAATGTAATGGCTGACTTCTGAACGAATAAACATACGTGATGATGTTTGCTCACTTAAAGGTGTATTTGTCATTTAAAAAACATACTTCAGTTACTTTACTGATGTGTGTTATTTTTCCCACAGATTTTACCTAAAAACATAGTTTACTCCTATATCATCTCTGATTTAAGACATTTTACTCATACGTCATTCTCTTGCTACATGGTTGCATTCATACTTTGTAGTCCTGTCACTATGTCTGACTCTTTCTAAGTGCACATGTTAAAGTCAGACATCAGTCCACCTCTCAAGTTTGATCTTCACTTTCTTTGTATGTAAAGTTATGTTTTGTACTTTTTTAAGTTTGTACATACCTCAGGAGACTTTAGTTTATGTATTTTTGAATTTGTAAATCATGTATAAATCTGTTTTTGTTTGTGTATAAATGATAGCTCTTTCCACCAAAGGTTTACTTAAATCAGACAAAATCAGTTATAATTCTTGACCAGATTACTGAAACCCTAACAGAGCAGGGATTATGAATTGAAAGATCTTAATGTTACATTGGAAGCCTGTCATTTTTGGAGTCAATACTCATTTCTGGTTTCAACAGGGTTAAACACTTTTTGCATTTTAAAAGTCAGAATTTTTTGTCTTATTCCCAAATACAAAAAAAGGTTATTTTAAACCACATTTACCTTACTAATTTACCTCAAATAATGTATTTTTTTTTTACCTCTATCACTTTTTTTTTTCACTTAAGCACATCAATTCTAATCTGAGACTTGGTTTGTCTTAAAAGAGAGGATTGTATTTAGTCTAAGCACGTAATTTCTCACTTAAAATAAAAATATTTCTATTTTGGCAGTGCTCGCTCACAAACATTGTTGTTCATTGTTTAAGTTTTCTTTACACACACTAAATAACTGGTCACACAGTTTAGTCATTTAGTGTGTGTTAGCCTCTAAATCTATTTTTTAACATCCTATCTTTGCCAGTCACCTGTAAACCAATGGAAAATCTATTCTTCAGATTTCTAAGGTGCTACTAAGACAAGTGTAACTCTTATCTGTTTAGATCAGCGCTGTGGTATATCAACCATCCCTCCATTCCCATCTGTGAAAATAGTCAAGCCACATTATATACAAACATATCAATGACTGTAAATAAAGCTAAGAACCAAAAACAATCACAGAAACTATTGCTGTAACACAAAGAATCCATTATATTTGTAAGGTTTATTACTCTTTGTCAGGAGTAAATATTATTTATCAAGAAAGAAAATCAAGACAAAACAGAAGATCCAATCGAGACATTCTGCTTTGTGTAATAAATCTGAGGATAAGATCACAAACCAAAAAACTATACAAGCACTGTTTATCATTAAGGAACCTTAATAGCTGGGATATCATCACCCTTTTATGTAAATACAAGAATACCTGCATTTTATCACATATTTGTTTCCTAGTGTTTTATAATAATTGAATAATTTAAAACAAGTCCACCACAAACCCTTTTTCTTTTCATATGTTCATAGGATTAGCTATCAAATCTATTCTTTTCAGACCGGTACAAATCTGAGAGTCTGGAGTTTGCAGGATGATGAAGATTTTTAAATCCACATCCTCTTTAAAATGTGATTTAACCATTGAGTGCAATCGTCATATCTCTGTCTTTGTCACATCTGCTACTCATATGTTAAAGGGTTACAGAATAGAAGTATTAAAGTGCGCTGTTGTATGCCCTGTCATTTGTCGAAGGCCACTTCTTCACATATATAAGAGAGCACAAGAAACCTGTCTGAAGGAAATGAGACATTCACACTGGAGGGCCATAGGGTCTCTGATAAGGCACACAGTGTTCACACAGTCCTCTGAGTTTCTGGATTCACTGTCTCATGTTAAGCCGGTAAATCTTTCGCTCACTTCCCACAGCTTCTTAGCCAGAGCATCATCTCGTCCCCGAGCCCCCACTTGTTGCAGTGCACAGTTAGAGAAGTAGCGTCCGCTGAGAGGTTCGATCCCTTCCTGCAGGGCGCAGTGCAGGGTGGTCTGGGACCCCGCCTCTGGGTCCAGGAAGAAGAGCTTTGCAAAAGGAAACATGAGGAGCTGCTGCCACAGGCTGATGCTGCGACACAGCTCTGTGTAGATGACTCCTGAGGAGGAAATGATCCAAACACACATGAAAGGCTCCGTGTTAACTGTAAACTACAACCGGGACTACAGCTTTCCTATTTCAGCTGCACAGGACTGGCAGAAACTTTTGGACACTACAAAGAAAAGCAGCAGCAAAGATGTATGACCAAGATGTATGAATTACTCTGGAGTTTCTAAACCATAGATTTTTAGCCTGCAAACAGTTTGTCATTGAGAAAGAGTCTCATACCCTGACAAGGCCTTGCATCAATAAGCAATCTTTGAAGGTCAGAGCCGAGGTGACCAGTTTTTAGAAGAGCCGTCATAGCTTGTGTAATATGTGGGACTCCAACAACGTATAAAAATTAATAAATAAAAAGAACACAAAGTTCAAAACACATTTATTAGAGTTCACAGAACATTTTAATGGTGAACTTTTTGCATACACAGGTGAAGCCTGCTCACTCACTCTCTCTCTCTCTCTCTTTCTCTCTGTCACATTGTAAGGTGCTAGTTGTTCAGATCTCTCCATGTTATAAAAGCATGTTGATGCATTGACAGCGCTTTCTGCTATTTTGTGCAACCCAGAGCTGCATGTTAAGCTTGTGAAATATTTTGAATAAAGCAAAGGACAATAATGACACTGTCAGCAGACTGTAATATGTTAATATTATTCTCACAGTTTTTGAATCATATATGCCCTGAGAAGTGGTTGTTCTTTAGTATTGGCCTGTTTTAGCCCAGTCTGAGGGTCTCAGGCACTTTCTGGACTTGATTTTGTGCTATTTTATAGGAATTCTCTGACTCCTCTGACTTTGAAAAACAAAAAAAAATGTTTTGTTCTTTTGCAAGTTTTTAAAGATTTCTTAAAAAGTTTAAAGCAATGTCTACAAATGCATTTTAGTTGGTTTTTTTGAGCTTTGTAAGTTATGAGAGTGAATAAAAAACACTTGAAAACAGGCCTGGGATAAAAACCAAAGAGGCAGGTAGAAGTGAATTTACTGCCAACCTGGTCTTGACCTCAAAAGTAGCTGTAGAGAATCTATTACATAAACTTGCTGCATCAGCTGAACAGTGTGAACGTACCTGGGTGCAGGCTGTAGCAGGTGACACTGGTGCCCTCCAGCCTGTTGGCCAGCTCCCTGGTGAAGAGCACATTACACAGCTTGCTGCTGCTGTAGGCCTGAAAGTTGTGCCAGGTGGACTGACCGGACACTAACTCTTTCTTAGAGGCCAGCAGAGGGAAGTCGATGTTTCCGAGGCGATGCAGAAGAGCAGAAACAGTGACCACCCGGCTGGGGCCACACTGCTGCAGTCGCTCCAGGAGGAGATTGGTGAGCAGGAAGTGACCCAGGTGGTTTATGCCGAATGCCATGCCAAAACCATCCTCAGTCCGCCCTGGACCAATCACACCTGAGACATGAAGAGAAAAGAGGTCAGACTGAACCACTTTTTTTATGTGGGAGAAACTTAACAGATTAACTGTAAAAGTAATATTTCACAACATTTTCAACCTCACCTGCATTGTTGATAAGCAGGTCCAGTCTGGGTTCAGTCTTCAAAAAGGTTTCAGCAAAGCTTCGAATTGATGCGAAACTCGCCAGATCTAACTGCATGAACACCACCTGATTGTTCCCACTCTCCTGCAGAGAACAATGCTGGGTCATTGGGACTGTAATCGGCAAATATACACTTAAAAGTGAATGATACTGAAAGAAAGGGTTCTTTGACTTTTTGCATCTTAAAGTATCATCTAATTCAGTAAAAAAAAATAAGAGTCCTGCAAAGTTCTGTTCTTTTTTTTAGGAGGCTGCATGAGGACCTCAGCTAAATCAGATGGAACATTGAGAAGTTGAGGGGCTGCTTCAGCTTTTATCAGCTATATTTGTCACAGTCATGAAGAATATAGTATGGTTGAATTAGCGCTAACACTTGTTTTCACACTATGCTTTAATTCTGAAGTTGTGTCGAGGTTAGTTATTTGGTAAATGAAATCACCTCCTTACTTTTTCTTCAAATCTGTAATGAACTTTCTTCAGGGAATATCTGCATGTGTCTACCTGCCTTTACCTCTGGTGACTATGAGGAAATTAAGCATCCTAATTTAACGTAAACACAAACAAATACCGATAAGATCAGCCCCAGACGTACCCACAAGCATCCCCCGGTACTTATGGGTAAGTCTGCCCACAAGTAGCATGCATTCAGTCTGGAGTGGTTGTAAATGTATACTTCATGAAAACTAGTCTGAATTTTAGGATCAACTGATTTATGTGAAGCGATAACTATTTAAAGGAGTTGTTAAAGTTTCTAGTGAAGACCCACAAAGACCAGCAGTTTCGGTATCTCTCAATGAACTCACTCTGCGGATGTCATAAACAGCGCTCTCTGCCTTCTCCTTGTTACGGCACGCCAGGATCACTCTGGCTCCTCTCTTCGCCAGATCCAGAGCCGTCGTCTTTCCAATGCCTGTGTTGCTCCCTGTGCAGAAGAAGAATTTAGACACCAAACTGTCAAAAAGCTTATCAGGTATGAACATTATTATCGACATTGTTCTTTTATCAAAACCTGGCATTAAAAGCGAATGGATAGTAAAGTCCAAAAAATTAGATATATACTTCTTTAGGACAACAAGCAGACTAAATTTGTTGGTAAATGATAACTGAAGTGAAGCCATGTACAGAGAAAGACAATGTTTGACATCCTCTTTTCACATAAAAAAACTTATTTCAAATGTTAAAAATGGCTGACAGAGCTTTAAGGATCAGCTGGTCAACTGATCAGCTAATCATAGAAGAATGATAAACAAATTTGAGAATCATTCCTGTCCTGTTCAACTTGTGCAAAATGCTGCTGGCCCTTCTTCTAACTAACACTAACAGATGTCAGCACATCACTCCTGTCCTCAGCTCCCTTCTCTTCTCGTATCTTATAAGATTGATTTTAAACTTTAAATGTTTGTTTTTAAAGCTCTTAACAGCCTTGCCCCCATCTATTTAACTGAGCTTTTAACTGTTCGGGAGCCAAGTAGAGCTCTGAGGTCGTCAAACCAACTTCTGCTGGAAGTGCCCGGATCAAAACACAAACACTGGGGTGTCCGAGCCTTTTCAGTTGTTGGTACCAGGTTCTGGAATAAGCTCCCCACTGAAATGAGACTTATTTCCAACCTGGGCCTTTTTAAATCTCGATTGAAAACATATTTATTTATGCTGGCTTTTAATACCTAGTAGCGTGGTGACATTTTATTGTATTGCATTGTATCTTGTTCTTTTTTTTTTTTTACTGCTCTTATTGTTTTTATTGCTTTTTATTGTTCTTATTCATTTTTACTACGTATTGTCAAGCACTTTGGTTCACAGCAAGGGTTGTTGTGAAATGCTGTCTAATAAAGAACATTTACATTTACATATTTCAAAGCAAAAATATCAGAAATATTTGCGGGGTTTGTCTGCAGGTGTGATGATTGATAGACTTTTTGCTATTAAATGATGAGTCTTTAAGGTCTGGGACAGTACAGACAAAGATTCAATTTCAAGATATCAGTTTGAGCTTAAAGTGACTTAAATAAATATACTTAAGCATCAAAGTGAAATGATATTTAGAGTGAATGATTTTACTTCAGCCTTAATAGGTGAGCAGATTAATTGTGAGGCATGAAGCCAATGTTCACATGCTCACTGACAGCACTTTTATAGGACAGGTGTATGCATGACTAGTCTGCGGTCAGGACCAGCAGCCTGGTGGATCAGACCACACTTACTCCCCATGCATCAATGAAGCTTAACGATTAATGTACTGACTACTACAAACCCTGAACACCTACAAGAACAACAAGTGTCTAGATGTCCCTGACCCAATCGGTCATCATAGTTTGGTCCTTAATAAAGATAGTAATGCACCAAATCTTCCCCATGTTTCCTCTTTCCAACACATGAACTTACAAAACAGTTCAGTGGCTGCCCCATCACTGACAGGAGATAATTAAGGTAATTCCCTACACCTGTCCTGTCTGAGCTCATACTGCTGTTGCTCTTCAATGTACACATATTTAAAACAATTAATGCTTTTTTAAAATCCCTATCTGACACATGCAGCAGTGTTTTTAATACGTGGTAGTACTTTTAGAGTAAAGAGGTAAACCGTAAAGAGGTAACCACAATTTTAAAAAAGAAACCACATCACAGTCAGAGTGATAAAGAGCACACACATCGGTTTAGCAGCAGGAAAGAAGTGACACTCTTACCTGTAACAATGGCCGTCTTCCCCTGCAGCTTCACTGAGCTGGAGCACCTCGCTCCTTTAAACACACTGTAATAAATGATAACATATAGGAAAACTGCTCCTGCGAAGAGGTACAACTCAAACGACATGCTTGCGACGAACTTCACAAGCCGTAGGTTCAGAATCAGCGCTGCTCTAATAGGAACAAAACACCGTTCCGGTTACGACTTTCAAAATAAAGTTAATGCGTTGTTACAAACTATGTTTCACTTTTTTACAGCCTTGAGCCACGAAACTATCTTAAAAAAAAACTAAATAGTCTAAACATTTTGGATATAATAGAGGTACGATATGAACCACTACTTTATTTTAATTAAAAAAAAAATCTGTCAAAATTTGCTTTGAAAGTCGTTATGGTATCGTCTGTTTACGTATGTTCCCGTTGTGCCTCTGTGTTTGGCATTTCCAAACCGACAGATGTCGACATTTATCCAAAAATCATATTAAAGCAAGTTATCATCGAACTCCAATTTTCCGCTTTGAATTCCAAGATATTTAAAAATATATCTTCTTGATTCATACATATGTATTTATTTTATATAATTTTGCTGTTATATACTTATTTTTCATTAAAAACATTGAAGACTTTTTAATCTTACTCTTATCCCCTTTTTATCTTCAAATATTGGAGCTAGAAGTGCCTACATTAAATAAACACCAATTTTTTTGCACCATATTTAAGACATAAGTATATTTGTCTCTAACTGGTGGTTTTGGTTTTATCTCTCATTATATACATATGTATGCACTGTTTTCACCATTTACATAAGCCTACTCACTTATCCAATGAAAAGCTGTCATTGTTTGTGCCTGATGTAATCCAAAACAGGAAGAAAAGCCCAAACAGGATACAGTGTTTATTAAGTCTCACTGTTATATCTTGTTGTCTTTGGAGGAGAAATCCAATCCAGTTTCCTCTTTCCTCTGACTTTGATACTGTACTTTTTTGTACACTAATTTTAATGGCCAGTGTAAAACACAAAGAAGCTTCAGAGAGCAAAAAAATATGTGAACGTAAAATGACTGCGCATAGTTTACCTGATAAGATAACAGGCCCCATTTGTGGTAGTACTTTTTAAGAGCCAAGAAAAACTGAAAGTCATGACTGGCACACCTTCAGCTCTGGAATCATACCAAAAGATAAGAAGAGTTACTATGAACCACAAACATTTTCCAAATGATTTGATATGATTAATTATTAATTATTTATGGATTTGCACTCTGGTTTGATGACAATTAACAAAGAAAGTAGATTCAAAAAATAACGTAAACACCAGCGCTGCTTAATACAAAAAGGTTTGGTAAAATTTGGGAAAAAAAACACACACACGCATTTTAAATTTGGAATGTACAATGCATCTGCTTTTTACATAGTGCAAATATGAGCTGCATCATTTTGCAGTATAGATAATTCCCTAGACTTTTACAAAAGTATTTTGCATGAGCAACTCACAGTATGTCAAATATAGAAGTAGTCTTTCCATCGTTTCATCCTTTTTCCATAAGCTTCAGATAATCTACATAAATAGGATTAAAGGGGCAGCTTTTTACTGCCCTGCAGAAAAAGTACTGACTCCCAAAAATGTATCAAGGCTAAGGACAAGAAAAAGTAAAAAAATAATCCAAAATACAAAAGGCAAAATGAGTACTTTGTGACAGATACACATACAGCATTTTGATATGTACAGAATGTGTGTATATGAGTTGCTGTGTACTTGTTTGGACTGAATGTGTGTCCTGAAGTGAGTGTGTTTGTGTGTGTGAATGTAGGTGTGTAAGCAGGTGTGGTGCATGCTGGCATTGAGGAATGCATTTAAGCTTTTAGACACAAAGGTTTGTTTCGCAATCATCCACATCCAGGAGGGAAATATAGGCAGAAGGTGAACAGGAACTAAATGAATCAGGGCAACAGTCATTCAAAGCTTTAGTTAGATCATCTTGTTGACATGCAGTTTTTAGACTAAGCTACAAAGTGGTTCCTGTTTATGAATGTATGAATAAATATATATATATCAATGAATGGTAGAACAAGTATCTTCTAAAAAAGAGGGTCGATATGTTATGTTGAAAGGTATATTTGATAATATTATGGTAACTTTAATAAATGTGTATAACCCTCCTAAAGAAGGGCCAGGTTTAATAAAGAATATGTTGAAATTAATAGACTCTCAAAGTCAGGGAATTATAATAATGGTTATTTTAACCTTGTTCTGGATGCAAACTTACACTCCCAGGTTTAAAAAAAAAACATAATTCAGGAACTGCAGCTAGAGTATTGAGAAAAGTCAGGAATAATTGATTAGATTATTTTTTGTTTTCGAAAATAAAATGTTTAGAGAACCAGAATGTGACATACAGCAGATTACCTTGTTAGATCAGGCTTTAATTTATCAAAAAATAGAAAGAGAAAAGAGTAAAGTTTAATGGAGGCTTAATAATTTAGTATTGCAAGTGGAAGACTTAAAAATAGAGTACTGGAATCGAGGACTATTTGGGGAGGTACAAAAGCAGCCATTTGATGTGTTAATCATCACAAGTTTAAAAAAAAAAAGCGAAAGGGAGAAAATAATTGAAAGTATTGAGGAAAAATTAAGAAAGTACAAAAAAATTGCGTGAGACCCTTCAGTTTTAGCATAACTAAAGAAAACAAGAAAAGACTTTCACTGAGAGCTGAACGTACATCAGCTTTTACTAAACAAAAATACTATGATGGAGGGGCACAAAGACTTAGGATACTTTCTTATAAACTAAGAAACCACCAAAAATATCAAACATTGCCCTCACCAAAAATGCCACAGTTTAGAAAGTGAAAAACTTTTATTTTTTGGCTGCAGATAATATGTTCAACTACAAAAGCTCGAGTCAAAGTAAATTGACGCCATCAAAGGCTTTTGAGCTGAAAAGACACTCAATGGGTGACCCTCTGTCCCCATTCATATTTGCTTTGTTTATTGAGCCATTGGCTGTGTGCACACGAGGAAACAAGGAGATAAAAGGGGTAGAGATTGAAGGTAACCAGCATAAATTAGCATTATATGCTGATGATATTATATTATATTTAACAAGACTTGAATCACCCACCCAGCCTTCATGGATAATATCAAAGATAGTCTGGATATAGATGACTATGCAAAAATGTGACACAATAGGACACCCTATTTCTTCAGAACTTAAACGGTTTCCATTAAAGTGAAATAAAAAAAGAGATTAAATATTCAGGTGTATAAAATCCAGAGAAATATGGCTGAGCTTTACAAATACAACTGTGATGAGTTAGAGACAAGGATGTGGAGAACATCATGCAGAATATAGTCTTGCCTTTTGTCCTGTCCTGTATTGAAGAAATACTGTGAGAATGTATGTACAGAAATAAGCCATGTGATGAAACAGGACATCAGACTTAATTATGATTTTGTTTGGCTTCAGAAACTCAGCCCCACTGTAAAGAAATTGAGGGAAATAACTAAAAGAGTTAACGTGATTGAGAAGCTGACATATTAAATCAGAGGAACTCATGAAATAAGCCACTTGATGTTGAGTGAATGTGAGGATTATTTTAAGAGTTAGTGTGGAAAGTACTGACATGTATTGTATGTATGTAAAGTATTTATTATATTGTAGGCCAACCACCCTGTCTTTTTGTAACTTGGGTGTTACGGATTTGAAAAAAAAAAAAGTATGGGTGTGTAAGCCAGTGTGGTGTATGCTAGCATTAAGGAATGCATCTGAGCTTTCAGACACAAAGGTTTGTTTTGCAGTCATCCGCATCCAGGAGAGAAATGTAGGCAGGAGGTGAACAGGTACCTCATTAATTAAGGCAACAGTCATACAAAGTTTTCATTAGATTATCTTGCTGGCGTGATGTTTTCAGAATTAGTTTCAAAGTGGTTCCTGTATATGAATATCTAAGACTGCTTTGACCTTTGTTCACACAGCAAAAACAAAAGAAGCTGCTGTGTGACTTTTCTGTGGGTGCTCTGTGTGCATAGGGCAGCAAGAGAGATGTGCTGCACAAAACTAAATTTAAGATAAGGTGACTATTTTCAAAATACACACAGAAGGATATCAGATTTATCTTCACTGAAAGGTACCATATGAAGTAGGACAGACTGCTCTTTGTAATTTTGGCTTAAGGTTAGTGAATACAGTCACAACACTGATGAAAAACTGCCAAGTCATTATGACTCTGCTGTTTAGTCTGACAAATCTTTTTCTCTATGGGTGAAGAGTGAAATGCCACTGAGAGGGAGACTCAAAAAATCTTTTGGTTTTAAGCAAAGAATTCCTCACCAAGTTGCTGCAGGCCACACTCTCCGCTGAACAAAAAGATGGGCTGATACTGATTTAAAAACATCATGGAGTTTCCTGAGCAGGCCTGTCTGAAGTGGATGGCAAATTTATCTCTGAGGAAGTTTATCAGGTTATGTCATGCCAGCTGAGAGGCGGCATGGCTGTGCAGAGGATTGCATTAGAGTTGCAGAAAACTGTGCTAATTTCAGTCGTGAAAGTATTATTGTTTCCAAAAAGTTTTTAACAAAAATTTGTTGCAGCAAAAATAAGAGACAGAGCTTTACTGGGATGAAAAAATTAAATAAATACAATTTGATGTACACACTGCATTTCCACAAGCGTCCACTTACGGGTGTATCCAAAAGTGAGTCAATCCCCATAGTGTCACATTTAAATCTCCAACTTCACATCAGAAATAAAGATGTTTACAGCCTGATCAATTTTTTTGGGTCCTTAATTCACCTCACTTGTTCAGGTTGAGGCTAAAGTTAGGGGTGTGTTGTTTTTGAGTGACAGGCAGGAGCTTCTAGCCGTCTTTAAGGTGTCGCCTCAGCAGCTTCTTCACCCAGTTGAAGCAGGACTAGACACTTAAAGAACTGCAGGTTATTGTACATTCACATTAGTTTTACTTTTTAACACCACAGGTTGTCAGGTACCCACTCCTTTGATGACAGACTTGTTTTCAGCTTCACTCAGTAGAGCAGAAAAGTAGAAACACTGTGATCTTTTAGTCTCAAAGATAAGGTCAGCTACTTAGATATTACCGCCTCGGTCTTAGAGGAAATGTGATGGTTTAATTCATTAACAGCTAAAGAATTTGCCTGGAGCATATAAACTGTAAAACTGTATACTTGTTGTCCTCAATCCCTCTCGTATCAAACAATGGTCATTTGTGAGTCTGGAAAAATAATCTAGCCCACCCAAAGTATTTTAGCTCCAATGACCCCATCCCAGTCATTTTGACAAATATGCACCATCCAGCTGTATAGAGTTGTAATTGTGATTATAGTGTAGTCTTACTTTCAACTGACATAAGCACTTACAAGGCTTTGTGGTATAACCACAAGAGGACAACAAAGAAGACATTCAGCTGGATTTGTGATCTTGTGTGCTGTGATTTAAGTGTGCATGGATGAAAACCATGGTGCGGATGTTGCATCAAAGTACATTAGCATAAAAAGCCCCATATTAACAGAGAGCTATGAAAGTAGAAATCCGATCTGCCTGAGTCACACAGATCATGTGCTCCAGTTTGATTTCCTCCTCTACAATACTGTCTAATGTCTATGTATGTGAATCAGTGTCACCTATTTTTAATGTCTTTTTAATGTCTTAGGCTGCATTCTTTATTATTTGCGAACTCGCCGTGAAGACTTGTTAGATATGCAACATTGCAACAGAGCAGTTACAGCACTATTGTGTCACTAAAGTTACCTCTACTTTTGGGATGTTATTAGAGCCGTTTTCTTGCCTCTAAGTAAATTTGTAACCATGGTTACATCACTGTCTGCATATTTCCTTTTACAGTCATGTGCCAAATGTAATTATGTCATATTTTGATTATTTCTGCCATCCTGAATGGTTGCATCTGAAGCCTATCTTTTGGTAGAACCAAAATCTGTGACGGTACACTTAGTAGAATTAACTTGTGCAGTAAGAATCTGCTGGTGAACAACTTCTATGTGAGAAAAATCTGATTTTCTTCTCTGTGTTAACCCTACTGTCATCAGTGGGTGTAAAAAAAAAAAGGGACAACATGCCGATAAAAACATTTAAAAATGCGTCAATGTTGAATGATATTTTGTCACTGTGTCTTTCTTGGTCTACAGCACACTTGAGTAAATTCTCAAAAAGGCATCCTGTATCCCTTTGTTCTTGATTTAGAATCAGATATAGAGACCCTTCATAATTTAAATCATATCAAATTGGGATTTTATCAAAGATTCACACCTCTACCGAACGACCTGCTAAAAACCTCCAAAAAAGTTCTTGTTTTTGTCAGTCACACTGTGACAGGCTCAGATGGTTAATCTAAGAGTCTGTTATTACACAAAACATTTTCACAGAGAGTTACGTTATTATTTGCTTTCTCATATATGTATATGTTGTTTGATTTCTACCTCCTAAGTCACCAAACCCCACTGAAATAAACAGCAGTATCATCTTATTAAACTCTATTATTTCTGTTGACACAATAGCCCAAGCTAGTTCCCCAAACAACAAAGTCAACCCAACAAAAAACACACTACCTGGTTGATCATGGGTATTAAGGACCAGGCATACCTTTTCTGAGAGGCAAAATCACTGTTTTTGTCAATAAAGTCAATTTTACCACTGTGTCTGGTTTCAAACTCATGTGACAATTCATGTACGTATTGATCATCTGATTTCCTCAGATGTAAAGAACCCGGGTCTGGAAATACATAAATCCTCTTTGATGGACATTTCTGTGATTTCAACACGATAAACTTTGATCTGAATTCTTCTTTGCCCATTTGGTGATCCAGCTTTGTTTACATTGATTAACCCTAGACAGAATAAAGAAACAGCTTCAAACACACCCAGAAAACAAAGGGCACACAAAAAAGCAGGTCCAACTTGCTCTTGCTAACCTCTGAATGGATCCCAGTATGTATTAAATATGAAACCTCAGTCCTCTCCTATCCACTTTTCTCATTCAGGCTCCCTTTTTGGACACTCACCCATCCCACCATCTCTCATCCCCCCCTACCTTCACCCATAATCATCCGACCCTAAAATGACCATCTCTAATTCAACCCAAACTCATGCATCCCTGACTCTCTTGAGTCACTCAACTCATTGCTAGCAACCCAGACCCTCTGTCATCCCTCCCTCTAGGAACCAGAGAAAGAACTATATAAACTACATAAAACCATATAAAGTCCATTTCACATTTACCCTGGCCATGTTTTATCCGGCTCTACCTCCATCCTTTTCAACCATCCAACCTACGCTTCTTCTCATCCTCTGTACCCGCTCTTTTCAATGTAAATATGTAGGTCAAAGATCTACTGGGATAAAGTCTTTGTGTGATCTGAGGTGAATCATAACACTGTCTGTCTTCAGGTTCTTATTTCGTCTTTGTTACATTATAAAGGCTTAGATAACAATACCTTCCACCGCCTTCTCCAAACAAATTACGCCCATTTTAAACCAGAGAAACCAGAATCTTTTCATTTTTAATAACCAGTTCGCTTACAATAGGTTGTATTGAGTATGAACCCATCTCTTTAAAACAAAAGTCCCATGCACAGAGAGTAAATTGACTATTTATTGATACTGATAATAAACAAGTTATACAATGTAGTCACGAATCTGCTTTACATGTAGGAATGTTTGACAGTTGAAATAGCTTTCACAAATTGTAAAAAAAAAACTGTTCCCGGCATTTTCTGTGCTGTGAAAAGTCTCAGATGCATTCAAGGACACCTTTACATGTTAATATTTCACATAAATGATAGAAGTGTCAGAGGGTTAGTTGTTTAAGCGAGCCCACAAAATCTCTCACTCAGCTCCCACAGCTTCTTGGCTGCAGCATCATCTTTGGCTTTCGAATACAATTCTCTCACAGTGCAGTTGGAGAAGTAACGCCCGCTCAGCGGTTCGATTCCTTCCTCCAAAGCACAGTGCAGGGTGGTCTGGGCTCCCTGGACCGTGTTCTTGAAGAAGAAAGCTGTCATGGGCTTCAGGATAGTTTGAAGGATACCTGTGTTCCTTGCCAGCTCGGAGTTGATGGCTCCTGCAAAAAAAAAATGAAAGTCAGTGTTTTTGAACTACTAATCTGCAGTGGTTAAAATCTAACTTACACAATGATGCACAAAGATCTTGAAGTTTTTTTCCCGCGGGGTAACAAAAAGGGGGCAACAATGACCTCTGCATTTAGCTCATTATCTTTTTTCAACCATGAAACTCTCAGCTGCTGATATGGGCTGACATTTTGGGCTGTTTCAACTTGAAGCTCAGAATTTCACGCTTGCAATGTTGGGGGGAACAAAGTGATCTGTTGGAGTACTCCAATTACAGCAGACAGTGTTTATTCCCATTATTATTAGTTTTTGGGCTAAAAGAGCACAAAAGATGTAAGCCGGTACTTGAGGGCTAAAGCTTGTTTAGCATGATCAAAATGTCATTGGTGTAGATTTATTATTTAAATTTTGGTTCAAGAAACTAAATCCAGCTGAGATTGCAACAAGCAGTATGAGTGGTTCTGAGATTGAGCAGTGACACCCTTACCTGGATGGAGGGTGAAGCAGGTGACCTTGGTGCCCTGCAGTCTCTTGGCGAGTTCATGGGTGAAAAGGACGTTGCACAGCTTGCTGTCAGAGTAAATCTGAAAAACTTCCATGAACGAAGTTCCCATTCCCAGAGCTTTGTTCTTGTTCAGGCAGTCGAAGTCTACCTTCCCAAAGTTATGAGCCACAGACGACACGTTGACCACCCTGCTAGGCTCAGACGCCTTTAGACGATCCAGCAGCAGGTTAGTTAACAGGAAGTGACCAATGTGATTCACGCCAAACATCATGCCTAGTCCATCCTCTGTGCGGCCCTCCATATAGAGACCTGTGATAAAAATATGGAGGAACTTTAACCCTGTATTCACACGAGTCCACAAGGTTTAAAAATCTGAAAACTTGTACATCTGTTTTTAACAATATTTCAAAAGGGGTCTTTTAAACACACCCTGCAGAATCCTTCAAGTCTTAGAAAATCACAATTGCAGCTTTACCTGTAAGCAGTTCATGGTTACAATTTTCATGCAGTTAAGAATACACAACACTCTTTCCAGTCACTTCCAAAATCTCAGAACAAGAAGACTTTTGATAGATTAATTTGAATCTGAGAGTATATGAGTAAATTAAGATGAATATGTTACACTTGATCTAACTTTAAGATTACAAGCAGAAGCTTGTTGGAGAACCAGGCTGAGAAATAGTTGTTAAACTGCAATTTCAAATTTAAAGTTATCAGTACTGTGGATCACTGTCACTACAAAGGCTACATAACACTGGTTTTGATAGCCATGCATGGCAGAAAAACATCAATTAATTAAACTAGGGGGCTAGTTTTTTTTTTTTTTTCAGCTGTTTAACAGTAACAAGGAGTGTTCCACAAGGTTCCATATTAGGTCCACTTTGATTTACTATTTATATAACAATATTTTATAACAATATTTTATCCATTAGTGCAAATCTGTACGCAGATGACACAGTGCCTTACTGCTGTGCTGACAATGATTATCTTGCAGTACGAAAAGTACAATACTATCTTAGCAGCCTGCAGGATGTTCTTTGAGATCTCAGATTTAATTTTAACGAAGATAAAATAAAGCTGATGCTATTTTCCAAACACAAATTATTCATTAAATTGATTTATCTTTATAATTCCACACTAAGATGTATTACTGGTGACTCCACAACACTTATCATTGTATTTTACATTTTAAGGTTGGGTAGTCCTCCCTGTCAAACTGCAGGGCTGTAGTCTGAGGACAGACCTTAATTCAGACAATGAAAACTGTGCTTACTGCTGCTGTACAAATAAAGAACATGATTCTCAGTTGTGCAATGTGTTCTCAGAAACAATATTGAAAGAAGAACTTTACATGAAAATCAATACAGAATATGAGTTTCCTTGCTAGCAAAAAAAAAAAGTATGTGTCACAGCCACATGTGTCCACTACAGTTGCAGATAATCAAAAGAAGAAAGAAGAAAAAACACAGGCCTATTCTAACAAGTTCCCATAAAAGGGAAACCAAACCACTGCAGCCCAGTCACAAACTTAAAATCAAATTATCAGGAAGAATTAGGAAATACTTTAGGACAAAATCTCAATGGCTTTTGGGATGTTACAGGTGAGGACAGCAAAGACTGGGATTTAAAGGCCTGCTAGATATATACCAAACTACTCCCTTAAAGCAACTGGAAATGGAGATAAAATTGTACGAAGAAGGTTTAGAAAGTGAGCCAGTGAGTCTGCACAGGAAACTGGAGCTCAGGAATACATGCATGCTACACCTGACCCTGCACTGTGATGATTCTCCCACTGAACTTGACCGACTGACTTGAAGTGGTCCCTCCCCACTCCAGGGATGATGTAGCACTATTCATGACTGACACTCTTAAATGACCAGCCATATATGTTTTATATAACTATTGAGACAACAGTAAATGTAATTGGTGTTATATGATAACAGACAGACTCCTATACTTTATAAACACCTGCTGCTCTCACCCAACTCTAGTGCAGTACTTACACAACACTTTATGAATTTATGAGTTCATGTAGATGTTTCACCATGTGTTTTTATTTGTCACTTCTATGTTTTTTTATGGTATGATGGTATGATATGATTTGTTACTGAAGCACTTAAATGGAGCAGGACTCATATTTTTAATGCAAAAACAATAAAGCATTCTATCGTATTCTCTTCTGTCTGGTACTTCCAAAAGAAAAAAAAGCTTAAATGTTAATCTACATGTTGCAATAATCAGTCTGACCTGCATTGTTGATGAGCAGGTCCAGTCTGGATTCAGACCTCAGGAAGTTTTCAGCAAAACTGCGAACAGACTTCAGACTCCCAAGGTCGAGCTGCATGAATACCACTTGATCACTGCCGCTCTCCTGCAAGAGATATGATGAGTTTATCAGATAATTCTGGGCTACTATAACACAAAGAAGAAATACTGGTATCAATTAGTTTCTGATGAATGTTTCTTCTCTCTGGTGTGTGGCAGTAAATCCTGGCAAAAGGATGTAAATTTCATGTTTTCTGCTCACCCTCTTAACATCCTCCAGAGCTGCTTCTCCTCTCTGTTTACTGCGACAGGCCATAATCACTCGAGCTCCTCTTTTGGCCAGATCGATGGCTGTCTCCTTTCCAATGCCTGTGTTACTGCCTGTAAGTAAGAAGAAAAAGACAGGCATTGCACACAACATTTCAGCCCAAAACATAAGAAACAACAGCATTCAAAACTCAAACAATGCTCTTAATCTAATCTTCTTTTTGTGTTATTACTCCATTGAAGAGTTTGTTTGTCTTTCAGCAGGATGAAGGGAAAAAGACTGGGTGGATTCTATTATCAAACTTGGTGTAAGGAAATAGATCAAGTGCTCAGTTGAGTAAGAATTTCCTCCTTTTGAGTATTCAGTTTCTTGATTTAACCGCTTTTATAACAGGCAGCCACATTCATCTTAGTTAAAGGAGGAGATTTTTGTGCAGATTTACTCTGCCCTCCTACTTTTTTATAAATATATAAACACCAAGTTATTTGAGTAAATAAGTTCATGATAAGTACAAATAGAGCAGAAGTGACACAGATAAATGTTTCTGAGAGATTAAACCCTGAATGCTGTCTCCAAGGATAAATAAATACCAGGTAAACTTTAGGGATTATTTTTTTGAAAACCTACCCCTCACAGTGCTTTTAGGAATGAAAAATAATACAGTATATGTAGCATTTAGTATATACATGATATTTACACCTTTTTCTGCTTTTGTTTAAATAAAAAACTTATGGATTACCGCCTATTCATAAATTTAAAAAAAAAATCGCAGGAGCTATAAGTTCAGGTAGAAGTTAGTGTTTTTTCCTTAATGCTCTTCATGTGAAATCACGCTTATCAAACATCCGTAAAGAGTTTCCGGATGGTTATTTACAGCTACTGCACAGACTGGACTGTGGCTGCCACCAGGGACACACCTGGGCTGAAATCCAGGGTCAATAGTAAGCAGGACTTCGTGATTTAGACTGGTGGGGTGCAGAAACAACAGAGACAGTATCCGAGTTATAGCGTGAAAACTACGTTTAACACTACCTAAGATGATGACATGTCTGCACACATTTATGGGTTTATCCCCCGAGAAATACATCCATGTATTTGACATTTTACTCCACTCACCTGTCACGACAGCGGTCTTCCCGTGCAGCTTCACCGTGCTCGTGCATCTCTTTCCTTTTACCACAGTCTCGCGGAAAATGTACGCGACTCCGATCACAACTCCGAGCACGAGCAGCAGACACATGTTTGAGGTCCGAAAGATACACACCGCGCACTGTCAGAGAGTCTGAGCTCTGAGTCCATCACAGAAACACACTCATATATACATCCACACACACACCCGCCTCCTGACAGGGCGGGTCACTGCGCGCGCTGTTGTCAGAGTACGACAGAGTGGAAGGACCGGAAAGGCCCGGGACAAATTGGACTGAGTTCAAGCGACTTGACACACAAAAAGTACCTTTCCCCCACTCCCGACACAACATGAGGACAGCGCCATCTGCTGCTGCATACCGACAATCAGAGGCGTGCTCAGGCTGTGAAAGGAATATGGTTGAAAAAAGGCCACCTCCTGAAGCCAGTGGAACACCAGCGCATTTACAATTGTGATCAACGAAGATCTGCCTTAAAGGAATATTTTGGCGTAAAAATTAATTTAGGGCCAAACACACCGGTACACCGAGTTAGACTACCCCCTAAAGAGATTAATGTTATAGGGTTCTAGCCACCAAACATCTTTTTAACTAATTTCTTTAGCAAAGAGACTAAACACAACTCACCTACTCTCTTCCAGCAGCCGCTCGTTTGTAGCGAGACCTCAGGCCAGTCCATTACGGACCGCAATGGGGTGACGCAGCTCAAGAAAGAACATTGATGATCATTTCTTCAGGGAAATGCAATCAGACCGAGACGCTAAGGCAGAAGAACTACCGCGTCTGCTGTGCAAAATGATTAAATGGTGATTACTACTTTAAGAAAATGATAAAGTAAATCATACATATTCTTCCTTGAGCTGCGGTCTGTAATGAATTGGCCCGAGGTCTCACAAACAAGCGGTCACAAGTCACAAGATATGAATTTATAACTATCTTACTGTTAAAAAAATGTACCATATCAAATAAATCTGCAGAGATTATGGTCCTATAAAAACATATTTTCTCAGATATAACTTGTGCAGTAACCTTTGGAATAATTAAAACTGATCATTGAGTTTTAATTAAGAGCAAAAAAAAAAAAAAAACAGGACACAGAAGTTGAGTTTGTTCTTAAAAAATCTTTCTGTATTTACATGTTTGAACAGACAAGCAATACAGACAAAGAGTGCTTATATACAGAGCAGCACAGGATGTTAAAATGAGTGCTAAAACTAGGCGGTATTTACAGATGGACGAGAGCGGAAAGTACAGACTAAGAATGCGTTTATCACAAAACTTCTGGTACTCTACACGGTATCACAAATTCCATGAACTGTACAGTTAAAAACCAAAAAATGGTAAATCTACATGAAATCCAATGTTTCTCCAATTGAGAGACACTGAATTATATATATTTACATTATATATATACATATCATAGTGTATAAGCATGTATGTTTTCATACATATATAGCTACCTGTGGTGCAAAAGCAGCAAAAGAAATGAGAATGTATGGAATCCATTACTACAAAGCAAAAGGTTTGTGCTAAATGGGCTGACTGACAAAATAACATTACACCATACATAACTATAAACTGGCAAAGAAAAGGTGAGCGCAGGTAAATAATGTTCGCTCGCTCTGAAGTGAACAGAAGGTTACTGTCAGTCGTTCAAAAACAGAAGAGATTGTCAATAATACTTCAAGTTCATGCAAAGATATAAACCATTAAAAATGAAAAAAATAAACTTTTCCCTGTTGACCAACCAGCTGTGCAGCTTTCCCTTCATTGAGACTCCATAGGTGCAAAACAAAAGGAGGGAGGGCGGGACTTCCTGTGCGGGTTATGGAACAGAATTAGCATGCAGAACGGGCACTTGGTGGGGCGGAGGGGTCATAGTGTTTGGCTCCTCCTGGCTGGAGGGGCCGCTCACTGTGGCAGTACTGGGTGGAGGAGGAGGTGGTGGTGGTGTAGGGGTGGAGGAGGGGGCGGTGCTGGTAGTGCTGCTGCTGCTGCTGCTGGTGGTGCTGTTGGTATTCGAGGCGCTAATGCAACTGGCAGCAGGGGTTGTGCTCTGCTCCTCTTTGGGCTGCTTTGTGGCGAACTCTGTGATGCTGAAGACGAACTGGAGGCAGCCGAGTTTGATGTAGCTGCCGTGGTGGAGCAGGGCGGTGCCCTCCCAGCCTGCCCCGCTGCCTCCAATCAGGCTGGAGCTGCTCGCCTTGCAGCTGCACGACGGCTCAACGCCGCCTTGAGGCTGGCTGCTCATCACCCCGCCGGCAGGTAGCAAGCCCACTGCAGAGCTGGGACCCTCGTCATCCTCACGCTTCTTACTGCGACCTGAAGGGAGAACACAGGGGCATCAGGCATCGCCCTTTCAGTTCAGGAACAACAAAAGAATGAACAGTTATCCTGCATATTACAGACAGACGCAGCCATCTCGGCCTAGCTGTCATTCTGCCCTCAGGTCCTGACAGCATAGGACAGCGTTATCCTGGTGAATGTCATTGTTGTATGTCTAACAATGAAAACACCCATAAGTTTACACTTCTGTACCTCTTACACCCTTCTGCTGAGGTTTTGTTAACCACTCAGTTTTACTGTAACACATTCATGCTTTACCACAACCAGGTTAAAACCCAGTGTGTGAACTATGGAGCAGAACTCCATTACGTCCTTCCCACCTCTCTCCCTCTCCAGCACAGTCTGAGTTACGTAAAGTGTGAATCATTTTTGGTCAAATTCATACCAAGCTCCCTCACATGTTTGAAACTCTATGTTAGCATTACATTATAAAGCTTTAACATGCACAAGTATTGTAGAAAAATACAGAAGCAGGAAGAAACAGACATATTTGAAAGGGATGAGTTTTCTTTAAAGTACAAAAGTATAAGTTCTTAACAAATCTGTGCAGTAAAATCAAGTGTGTGATGCTTCAAACTTTGTCCACGCCCCTTTATGGGAAAATGAGATGAACTCACGGATGATGCCTTGCACTTTGGCCACGAGACCACTAGGTGGAGACAGTGATGCTTTCTCAGAGAAGTCACACGAGTAGAGGACGTTGTCGACTGTGGTGCCGTGCTCGCTGTAGTTCAGCAGCTCGTAATGCTTGGTGTTCTGAGGACATAAACACACTTTTAACACCAGGTGTAAAACAACAATAGTACAATCACATGGGAAACTGTAAGACAGTAAAGAGTTCATACCTCATCATAGAAAATACAGGCATGTTTCCCCGATATGTAGTTGCAGTGACCGTAGTTTGTAAGGCACACATCCATGTCAGCACCTATCCAACATAAAAAAGATATATGAAGATACATCAAACCCTGTCTTCATTCCAGCTCAGAGGTACAACCATCTGCAGGGTCGAAAGTGCATCATTCTGCAAACAAGTGCTTGTTTCTAAACTTCTGTAACTCTCCACTCCTAATGTGAAATACTGAATCTTCCTAATGAGTATGTGAAACTAAGGAGAGACAAAAATGTGCAGGCAGTCACAAGATAAATCTACTGTGATAAGAAAGTGACAATACAAGACTGAGAAACATGAAACAGAGTGCCTCAAACACATTTCAGCCTGTGCCATGTCATATTTGAAGGTTTTATAAAAAGCTCTGCTATATATGAATAATAATTAAAAAAAACGGTTCTTAACTGGAGTATGTCTTACCAGATCCTATGTATAACGTCCTGTAACACATGCTGACTGCCCCTCCTTTTCCTGTAAGAGGGTAAAAGACGGCTCGGGCCTGCACCTTCTTCTGACCTGAGAGGAAGTGAAGGGAAGGATTTAGAAATAATGTCAGGACAGGAGCACAGACCAAACAGCAGAATTTAGGTGAGTGAGTGTCTTACTATCGAGGCTGGACAACGGAGATTTGACGGCAGAGTTCAGGGCTGGAGGAGGAGTGGGAGTACTGGGGGATACTTTAGGGGGAAAGAGTTGCTGAATCCTCTGCCAGGCCAGAAGTTTGATCATCTCTGCATCTAGTTTTTCCAGCTCAATTCCTAAACACACAAAGGACCAACAGCAAGTGTAAATAACATGAACATCCTTTTAAGAATCTGAAATGTTCAATATGCAGCATCCACATGTACCTCCACCCTCATCCTTCCCCTCCTTCATGCAAGTGGATAGGTTGGTGATGGAGGACAGAGCACTGGGCAGCAGAGAGTCCATCAGTCCAGAGCCAGTACTGGTCCTTATATCTGTTAAAAGAGAAACAACGCCACAAGATGGGAGTAAAATAATTGCTTCATAAGACTGTGTTTAAACCTAGGACTAAATGTAAACATTACACATTTTAAAGTAATTCAAAGGCTTTTTTTTAAATAACATTTGTGCACAAAACACCCTGCAAACACTAGAGGGAGCCAGTGGGTCAGGTGACAGCGAAGTACAGAGTACAACAGAGATGTCACTCAACTACCAAGCTGGAAGAGTAACTGCAGACTTTCCTCAGAGCAGTTATTTGCAATTACAGATTTTTTATGAATGATTGTTTAGTCAACTTAACTACTTAAATGACGATGATGATCTTAACTTAATTCTGCAGCCTAGACCAATGACCTATTATGCCTCTTCAGACCTTATTTTTTGAGTTCTGAGGAGCCCCCTGAATAAAAACAAAACCTGTTTCCAGTCTTAAATCCAGTTTTGCAGCATTTCATTGGAATAAATAGCACATTAACAGCTGAGGGAAATACAACGTTATCAGAGATGTATTTTGTTTATCCTCTAGGCCTTACATTGTCCTTCTAAGAGCTTTATAATGACTTCACATGACTTTCTTTTAAAACCCTCACTTCAGCCGCTTTTGAAAGATGTCCGTCCTCTCAACCACTATCTCTTCTATTTTTCCCCAGCACTCTAGAAGTCTCCTCCACTGTTGCAATGCTACAAAGTTATGTTTATGTGTTCAAGATGGCAAATAATGAAACATGGCCTTTTGATTTAGACCCCAAATCAGACCTGGAACATTTGGAAAGAGAAAAAAACAATTCCCAACATTGAACAGGGTTGCTGTTTTACTCAGAAGAGGTCCATCAATCTGTCTAATTCTGGGATTACATCAACACATGTACACCTCACACGTTGAAACTTTATCCACATTTAGCATTGACTATCAACACATTAAAATCAGTAATACACCTTTTAAGGCTTCTCATTACCAAATTATCTGTATTACTGACTTATTGAATTTCCCTTTGAGTATCATTAAAGTTCTTCTTATCTTATGGTATTTTTTGACAGTTTTTCTTAAAAGTTCTTTTTTCTCTACCTCCAAGATAGTCGTACCTGGAGTGAGCGATGCTGCCCCCAGCTTGTTCTTGTCTTGCTCTGTGCTGCCTCTAGGTGGCATTTCTGAGAGGGCACTGCTGGTGATGGAGGGTTTCTCCTCCCTGCTCTCCTCCTGCAGCTCCATCTGACTCCTGTGGTTCCGCTGGCCTCCGTGGGGCCATATCGTGGGGGCAGTGGGGCTGATTTTCTGAGCGCAGGTCTCCGTCGTGCTCTCCGGCTCCTTTTTAACCGTTTCTGCTCGTATGTGGTTCGGCAGCCCAGAGGCAGGAGAAGAGTCTGAGGGTGTGGTGCTGGGCTTGAGTCTGTGCAGCTCCCCCTGTCTGCAGGAGTCTGAGGAGCAGTTACAGTCTACAGGTCCGTTAGCTTTGGGAGGCTGGTGCTCCTCTGTCAGAGGTCCGTTAGGTTTCCTGCAGTTCTGACAAAACGTTGTGCTGCATTTACAAACAGCCAGCTCTGATAGGGTGTCATCAGGTGTACTGCAGGGTTTAGAACAGGGCTCAGGGGAGGAAGTCCTGCCTATAGAGGCTTTCGATTTTACATCTTCTAACGTTACACAAGATTTAGATTTCTGTTCAGAGCTCCACTCAGATGGCAGGGTGGACGATGCTTTCTGCTTGGTGGATAGATGTCTCATGATGCTGCACTGCAGGGCGATGACATCCTTAAGCCACTGTTCAGTTTCACAACAGAGAAAGGGACCGTCAATGAATTTTATTTCATTATCAAATAAAAAAAACAACATTTCAAACATTTCTGTCCTCAATTGTTGTGACTTTTTACACCAGGTACAGGTTAGACTGTGAGTCAATAATACACTTCTTTGCTTCATAAGTAACTATCATTAACTGCTTTAAACCCAACCCTGTCAGCTGTTTTCTAATGTTTAAATTAAATTGGCCTGCTCACCTCCTTTTGCTCAGCCTCTGTGGTCAGGTGTTTCGAGGACTGATGGTCAGGGACGCCGCTACAAACCAGCTCAAGTTGGCGCATTCGTGCAGGAAGCAACAATGGTGGAGGGTTTTGGTACTGAGACTTTATGGAATCCGGCACCTGAGACCAAAGAGTGGTTATCAGAAAAGTAAACTCAAACTATGCAAGGATAAAAGCACGGCCAAGTTTAAAAATGTTCAAATTGTCTATGTATGACTTCTTTTTCTTATCCTGACAGTTAAAGTAATATCTTTGGATCACATAGGCAAAAAAAAACACATGAAAAAAAAAAAAACTCTTTGACATCTTGTAGATAAAGTAACCATCAAACACTGGGAAAACTTAACACCAGTTATTCTCTAAAATACAAATGGTGGTCATCTCAGGCCCACCTTTATGCTCTTCTTGCTGTGCTGGCGGGTAGTCCGTCGGTTTGGTGCGTTTTGTCGGTGAACTCTTCGCAGGAAGTCCAGCTTGACAGCATGCTGGGACATCCGGTCCTGGAACTGATCGAAGAGCTGACAGCGGCTGGACAAACTCAGGCTCCTCTGATTCAACTGGAATTCAAAGCAAACATTTTAATAGTCATCATATTGAACAGGCTGAAATTAACTACTAGAAATAAGAGCTTGCTCCTTACCACTAAATGCTCAACGTGGTTCGGACACATCCATTTGCCGGCAGGTAGAGCTGTGAGTGGAGGGTCTAGACAGTCCATGTGAAACAGGAGGGGACAATAATCACACTGGATCAGTGGAGCCAACCTGCAACTCCTGTGTGAGGAAATGAAGAGAACCCGGCTTAGTCAGAGAAATCAGGTCTTTCTTAAATCTTTGCATGTACCCCAATGTTGCAATACTCACCTGTTGCATGAGTAGCAGACTTTGACAGGTAGAGGAACCAGACCATTAGAATCCAACTCATGCTGAGGCCTCCTGAATGGCTTCCCTAGCAGCTCCTCTTTTCTTCTCCGTTTACTGCTACCTGAAATTTCAGACATAAAAAGAGATTAAAAATGAGAAGCAGCCATTGCTAAATGACCTGTCAGGAGGGGGAAAAAATCTTAAACCCTAACTTAAACCCAGGATTGCTTGGTAATTATCTCTTATTTAAATTCTTTTTAAAACATGTAATAATGTTCACAGTTTCCTCACAAAAAAAGCATTCTTGAAAAGTAAAAGTTTCTGACCCTGATATGAACACTGACCTGGCAGTGCTGTGGTGCAGGTGAGCTCAGTGGGCAGCTGAAACTGTGTGGGGTTTCTCTCCATGGCAGCTGCTATAAGCAGCTGAAAAGGTCTCTTTAAGAGGCGTGGCATCGGAGCAGACAGCGTAGCACCTTCCAGCTCTGCACCTTGAACTTCATCATCAGCCTCAGCTGCCTCCTCTTCCCCGTCATTCTGCTCCTCTGACGGGGTCGGGGTGGACGAAGTGTTGGAGTTGGGTGTCCCAGGGCGGCTGCTGGGCCTGCTGCTAGTCCTGCGGTCCAGGAGGCGCACCTGGGCCACTCGTAGTCCTGGTCCGGCTGCTCCAGCACCTGGGGGCAAACCGTCAAGCCGTAGCGGGCCAGCATTGAGCTCCAGCTCTACAGCTGGAGACGAAGAGCGCTTACATGAGGACCGCTCTGGTAGACCATTTGTCTGCTCCAGCTTTTGCTCTCGCTTCTGACAGACAAAATAAAGACAGATTAGACGACTCATTCAGAACACAAATACTATTGTCAAACAAAGTGGAGCGGTAGCTGTATACATGGAAAGACATTCCACTCACTTTTTTCCTAACATTGCAGCGATGACACATCCATTCTCCAGGTGGGAGCATTTCTTCACTAAGAGGAGGGTTGCTGAAATCAAAAGATAAATTCTGACATGAGTGATCAGGTATGAAATATATCTTAATGACATTATGAATGACATCTATGATCTAATTCAAATATTTTTTAAGCATACTATGAATGTAAAAATATACATTAGCTTCTTATGGCTACAGTTTTGTCATCAATGTAAGTATTTTTGGCAGATTACATTTAAAAATTAAAAGCTACTAAGAAAACATCCTCTATGTCTCCCTCTAGTGGATTGATTGATGCTATTTATATTACAGAATACATCTGAGAACTTAAAAGAAACGTGTCTAAATGTCTGGTTTAATTGCAAATTAAAAGCATAACTTACACAATGTAAACACCAACAGTGTAAAATCTACAAAAACACACTCATCACTAACATAGACTAGTCATCTAAATACCAGTTTACCAGTTACCATTGAAAATATGGAGAAAGACATGCTCACACCAACAAAAGATGATTAAAAAAGCTTTCCCTATGTGATGTTCAAATTTACTGACATAAATGTGTAAAGAGGGAAAATGTCACGGTTGAGTTATAGTGAACAGTACCAAATCTCCCACTCACTGTTAAACACAGCAAGAAGTTAGTGTGAAATTACAGACATTAACTCAGCAGATGTGTCTCTACATTGTATATGGTGAAGATAAAGCCAGCACAAGCATGACCATATATGGATATAACCCCTATCTGTTTCGTGGTTTCCAAGTGACACTGAAATCAACTCCCCCAAATGTCGAAGTTAAAATAATCCTTCATGCACACATTAACGGGGAGCAACGTAAAGCGGTGGTGGAGGAACACTGCGATAAACGAGCCTTTATATCATTAACAGACGCTAATGTGATACCGCTACAATACCATTGTATACGACTTCAGATTTATGCGCCTTTTTTAGCCAAAGCAGTAGTTTAAAGGTTGGTAAGATGGCGGTAGAATGAAAAAGGGAGCAGTGAGGTCGCCATATTGTAAACAGAGGCAGACTCGACTCCATTTTTAGCAGCAGTGAGCGGCTCCGCTGGCTGCAGGAGGGGAGGACTGACTACAGGCACAGGCGGCAAAATTGTACGCCCCATTTATATACTTTATCGAAACAATAAAGAATATCACGACGCCATCATTTAACGATGATCCGAAAGCAACAAAAAACAACATCTATAACCACAAACACTCTCCACAGAGCAAGGAATCATAACGGTGAGCAACTTTCTGGATAACTGATCACTCTCTTCTCAGAATTCCATTCAATAAACCTCGAATTTAACCAACTAATGCCTCCAGTTGAATAAAAAAGACTAAAATTGTGGTTTAATTATACATTTTGTGTTTAATTAAGCGTGCAGAAGAAATCGGCGAAACTGCTTTGCACATCATGAAGCGGCATAAAGCTCACTACCGCCCTCCTTGGTTCAGTTGCATACAAGAGTATTAAATAATTTTAAGCCCTAACAACTTTTTCATCTCTACCTCATTAGAAATGACCTTGGTGGAAAATATGTGAATGATTACCACCAGAATGATAAGTCCATATTTTCCTTCAAGACAACCAAAGAATACTTTTGTAAAATGTTCCAAATACTTCTGTGCTTCACTAAATTAAAGCAAAAATATCTTTCAGCATCTTTTTAGCACATTCAGAAATAACATCTGCAGATGGTGAGAAAGTAGAAAACTTAAGTACTTTTGGGCATTTGGTTTCTATTTAATAAACCATCACAGTATACAATTTTTTGGGGTTTCTTTAGGTGTTCTGATGAGCTTATTTACTCTGTAAACATAAGAGCTAGACAAATCTCCTCTCAGCTAGGTTCAGAGCTGTTCATACATGCGATAAAAATCTAAAATTAATTAGGGATGACAGTGGTGTTCGGGTTTTGATGTAGACTGAACATGGAAGACTAGGGAACTGTACTTTTAGGATCAAGTTTGTATCGCTGTCTCTGAGAGGGTGGCTTTTAATCTGCATACTGCATGTGTTACTTCCTCTGCTGCAACCCAGAGCAAGACAAGGTTCCTGCAGATTTTTGCATTCATCGTGTAACTTTTACATGCAGCTTACTGCAACTAAAACTTGCAGCCCATTGTTTGCTCCGGTCTGACTATCCACTGATGCGTGCAAACCTTTTCACAGTGCTCCTTTGTTTAAATAACTGTAACTTACCAGCACTGGAGATGGAAGGCTGCAGGGCAGTGGTCGCAGCAGAGCAGGTCTCCCCCCTCACGGCAGCTATCGCAGGTGTCATGGTTAGTGGCCCTGCCACTCCTTCGAACATCTCTCACTAACTTCCGACTCCTCTTCTCCACCTCCTCTGACTTGGGGGGTGCTAGCAGTGTTTGGATTTGCTGTGAAAAAATAGTATGTCATATGTTAATATAATGATACAGATGGAGAATTTGGAGTTTTGGTGTTTTTAAATAATACTGCTTCATCTTTGGTATCGTTTCTTCAATGCATTTGACAGCATGTCTTTCAATCGCTACTTGCTTTTAAATTATAAATTTAAGTTATAGATAAATCTGTTTTGACTTTCACTTTTGTCCATTGTTTAACTCTTGTACGTATACTTGTTTGAAGACATATTGGACAGTTGTTTGTGAAGGTAATGATCAATGTAATAACCAAATACTTAAAAATATATATATAAAAATGACCACTTATTTTACTTAAATAATCATCTTGCCCAACTAGGAATAAAATTAAGAGATAGATCAACATATTTGTTGAATATCAGCACTACTGGACATCCACTCTGGGTATCAGCCTTTCATATAATCATTTGGTTTTCTCTGATGTATTTGTGATGTGGCTTTAATTTGATAATGAAAGATATAAGCGCCATTACTTTTCCAATTAGCAGGTTTATACATTAGAAATTGTATATGAAGATGAATATGAGCTCAACATATATTTATTTTTTCATTTATATTTTTGCAATGCCTCTAAAACAATGTGTGAATTACATACAATGTGAATTGTGCTCTCAGATAAAAGGAGGTTTTGATTTGGCAGTGTGAGTGTTGAAATGTCTCCTTGCTAAGTTAGTGATCTAATGGCCCAGTAGGAAAAATAAAGTTCAGTTAAGAAAATATTTAAAAAACTCTTTATCTGAATAAGCTTTTGGCTAAAGTTTAATATTATAGTTATTGTTATCCGCCCAGCTTCTCTTCATCTGAGTCTTCCTCTGAGTAATTGCTTCATGGATACTGTAATAATTGATCAGACAGGGGGTTCTGGAAATTGAACAGCTTGTAAAAACTCAACTACACTGATTTACTAACGTTTGCAAACATGATAGTCATATTTTGAAACCATGCAGAGTTTGTCTAATTCATAAAAGTGGTCCCAAAAAGAGTCGTTCAGGAGGCCAAAGAGCGCTGTTGCTGATCAGATCACTGAAAAAGAGACTCATTTCTCATAACTACATCCTCCATTATCAGCAGAGGACTAAAAGTCGAATAATAAAAGAGCTTTTCGTGTAAATCCTGAGCTTGAAAGCGTTTTCCAAAAGGGGTTATTTCTCTTTAAACGGGCCTGAGAGCAGAGCAGCCTCACCTCCATTAAGCCCCCAGAGGTATCCAGATCGTACACAATCGTCGGGGTCTCCATTTTGTCCCACATTCATCCAGCAGCAGACGGTTCAAAAAATAACCGTGGTACAGATGCCAACCCGGCACACAAAGATGAGAGCAAATCCCTCGATGAGAGTCCCTTTTTGAAAATGTTTTAGCCCAGCGGATGGCCGGTAAAGCGGTGCTAGCTCTTGTTAGCCGGCTATGAAGACGTCAGCCAGTCAAGGTTGTGAAGCTAGCGGGCTCGTTAGCTTGTGTCGCGGGCTAAATAAGACAACAAAACCCGCCTCTAATGGTGTGACTAGGACTTTAGTTTTTTTAGCACCAACACCGAAATTCTCGCGTTAAGCCTACATACAATTTCTCTCTAAACGGACAGCCGCTGATGGCTACAGAATCCTCCTGCGGCCTAGCTGTGCAGCCATGATTCCTGTTTGTGCTCCTGCAGAAAGGAGCTCTGTAAACCTGCAAACCTCCGCTCCCATTGTCAACACAACATCAAGTCAGCAAACACACAAAGAAATCCGGCGTGCTTCGGTCCAATGCACGGTTTACGGTCGCGTTCCGAAAGAATAATCCTCAGATCAGGTATGTGGAGATGCAAATTTGGTTGATGTTATTGTTGTGAAAAAGGCTGTGCATCTACCCAGGCTGCTAGCAACATCCTCTACCAGTTGGCGCAACCGCGAACCGACTGGGGCGCATGCGCATTGGAACGGATATAGATCATTACGACAATGCATTTCGGAAAGGGGCGAAAACGTTTAGTAGACTGTATCCAGATACACCATGTTTGACGAAATAGCTTTTATTTTAAGGCTTTTCCCTGGTACTGATAGCTATCTTCCGTTAGATTCTTCCATCCGCTGCTGTTTGGCGTCGTATTCTAACTGTTGTTTGCTTTGATAGCCAGTGCTAACGAGCGCCTGTATAAATATAATTATTATTCTTTAGTAAGCTGTCGCATATCCACATCTACGGCTATGACAACTATAACTGAACAACGACTCTCGCACAAGTTTGCACGACCCATCGTTTTAGCTGACACACACAAAGAAATCCAGTTTCTGACCAACCTCAGTGTGTGATTCATTTTCTGTTATCCCCACCCTCAGAATTACATTCAGTTAATCTGAAATTTAATGTTTGAATGCTTGTAAGCTTAATGAAATGGACCAGATCTAATACTGAGGTATGCATAATATAACAGGTTATTTGCTGGTGAATTCGGCACACTCACAATACAAAGTGAGTGCTTAACAATGCCCATTACCTCTTTAATCTGTCAGGTTGTAGGGAAGGTTGTGTGACTATGGGGACAATCAGTGATGAAAACTTTGTGGAAAGTAAGAAAGCTTTTGGTGTCAGTCATGTAATGCAATTTTTAAACTATCCTACCGAGACACATTTCCCCTAAAGTCCACCATCTTTTACCACCACATCAGTTCTTTTCTTACCATGATTATTTCTGCTATTGCTGCTTTATTTGAGCAGCGTTTACCATTTAATTTTGCACTGATGTTTCGGTTTAGTTGGGCTCATTTTACAAGGCCCTTTGGGGTTAGCATACCTGGGAACGAGCATCTTAAAAGACAAAAATCAATTAAGTACCCTATGTGTGATCATTTTTGGATTATATATGTTACTATGGTGATAGTTTACGTGAGTCTGTCGACTGGAGTAATAATAACGTACTAATCTATGGTCAGGCCTTGATGTCTTTTTTCAGTGAAATAAATGAATGTTGAATGAAACCCCGTCGTTGCTCATGGATGATGTAATTCGCAGCTTTTACCAGCAGAGGGAAGCAGTGTTCCATCTTGCGTGGTGATATCAACATTTGTGATTGTTTTCCCCTGGGTACTCAAATATCAAAATTTTGGCTCCCATTTGATTTTTATTAATTAAAATTAACATTCAAGGCCACTAAAAAATCAACAAAGAAAAAAAAACATGAGCATAAGGAATTTGAATCAACAGATGACTCACAATCCTATCAGTGGTACTTGACCGACAATAACAATGATTTCATGATACAGAGACAATGGATGTAAAACACTCATCTAACAATACAAAACCATAACTGATTACCTCATGTGAAGAAAACAAAACACCCCCAAAAGGCCAAGTATTGGACTTCTTTATTATTGTATTTTTAACTGCACTGTGTCAAAGCTACAGAACAACCGTAAAAAAAAGGCACATTCAAAGTAAAATACACATTTTAGTTTTTCAAAACACATCACCTGCTTGAAACCATCAGAAAAAGCCAGTATGACATTTTTACCCCTAATGAAATAATTTGTTCTTTCATAAGATAGGTGATGAGATCAACCAATCAGAGCCGAACTAGAAGGTGAAAGGTTTCAAGAAAAAACAGCATCCCAGGACCACAGGTCTAAAAAACCATAAGGAACATCAGACCACTGGATGATGGTCTGGCCTAAACCACTTACTTCATTTTCATCACCTTTATGAACCCAAGGTAAGGAAACGATGACCAGCGAGGTCTCCTGACACACCCACCTGGACCGAATCTTCTTTATGAGCCTGACAAGTGGACTTCAGGTTTTTGGTCTTAGTGCGGTCTTTCATTTAGTCCTGGAGGTTTTAGTCACCCCATGGCCAGGATGGCCTACACCTAAAACAGACACAAAGCCTTTTGTTGAGCTCTGGGTGTGATTAACTCAGTGAAAGCTCATCCATGTTTATTTTAAGGTCTGATTGATCTTAGCTGTCACAGTTTTTTTCTCACCCTCCTCTGGTACAACAGCATATATGCCATCTCCTTCCTCCTCTTGCACACACTCTTGCTTGTTGTTCAGATGACCTGGAAGTCATTGTCATGCAGTCAGTGTTCACCTGCAGCATCCAAATCCACATCAGGATGAAGCCTGTCACCGATGTAGTGTCATTGCAGGAGAGGAATACAAAATTTCATTAAATGTGAAAGAAAAAAGACAGCCACATAAAATTATATCCATAAAAGTACCAGTCTTTCCTCATATAAACAAAAATAATGACGCATATTTAGTTTGTTTTTATGTATCAGAGTAGGAGAGTTTACAGTCATGGGACAAAGGATGCTCTAATACTGAATTATAGTGAGGAAAACACCTGAATCAAAGCTTTAAGACAATAAGGATAAAATAGTTAAAATTCACTTTTATAAAAACTAAAAGTTTTGATAACATAAATCTTTATAACTTGATTGAAATAACTGCATGAACTCACAACAATTCAGCCATGACCAGGTAATATTGCAGTCAGCCACAAGGTGGCAGTATCGTGTAATGAAGAGCCACAAAACATGTAAAATTATAGGACGAGAGTAGATATTTGAAACCAAGTTAATCACTTTCCTTTCCTATGATGTATTTTCTAAAAAAAAATGTGAAGGAACAGCTGAATGGCCCACCTCTGTTATTGTTTCCCCCCATTTATCAGTCTCACCTCTGACTGTCTAACACAAGTCTGGTTCTACTCAAGGTTTCTGCCTGTTAAAGGAAGTTTATTTATCCATCTGCTTTAGATCTGAGAACCTATTGGGAGACTGCATGGGGCAGTCAGACTTTCATTGAGTGAATATTTTACCTCTGTTCCCTATACTGCTCACACTCTTTTTTTAAACTCAGGTTTGTAAGGGTTTTACCTGGCTAGAGGTCACCATCAGATCCCTGAGGAGGTCAACAGCAAAACGTGAGTCAGTGAGGGCTGTGATGGTTATGATGGTCCCTTATCTTGGTAGATTCAGGAAGGTAGACTGCAATTGCATCTCTGGTCTAACCCTGTCTCCTGTGGAGAAAAAAATGCAGTCAGTTAATTACTGTAAAATAGAAAAAACAACAACAACCAAAAGCACATAAAAATGGCAGCAGTGGGAAATTTTAAACAGCTTCATATCACTCATGTTGTCTCAATGTTGATGGACCATCTGGTATTCCTGTAGCATCTGCTGCATCGAACCTCCAGGTTGCAGGTCCAGAGAGGGGTTGGTGAACTCCTCTCTTACTGATCCAGAGCCACAACTGCACGGCAAAGGGACAACACAAGAAGGGATACAAACTGTAGTTACACTGTGGGAAAAAAAAGACACTCTGCAGGAGAGAAATCATCAAACACCTCAGAGATAAAAATGACTGTAACAGGAAAATTGATCAGATTGTGTTTTCTGCAAAAAAGAAAGATAATTAAAAGAAAATAATGAAGTTGTTTGCATTTGTAAAAAGTAGAGTGATAAATAAAAAAAAACTGTGTTTTACTTTTTTGTTTTGGGTGAACTAAGTAAAGATCAGCCAAAAAATCAAATTACAAAAAGAGTTTAACTGCAGTAAACGAGGAAAACATTTGTCCTGCTGCAACCTGCAGTTGTTTACCCCCTGGTGCTCTGCATCATTGACACCAGCTTCCTCACCTCAGGGCAGCTCTATGGATACCCAATGAAGGTTTCAGAGCTTCCTGCAGGTGGGCAGCCAAGCTCCTGATCTGCCCGAGGACAACAGTCAAAAAACTAATGGGCATCCTGAATGCTGTGTAAAAAAACATCCTTTCTCCCCACAAACTCAGTATAAATAAAACATCAAATTTAAACAGCAATATAAATATTTTCATTTTTTTATGGATGTGATTAGAGACAAAAGGTCCTTGTAGTAGCTTCAACAGCTGCCCAGTGGTAACTGATAAAAAAGCACACACATAAAAAATGGCACCATCTGGTGGAATATAGTCAAAATGACTTACCTGCAGCCTCTCCTCCAAATTGAAAGCCTGTAATGGCAGCCTGTATGGTTTAATGCCAATCATGTCATAATGATTATATATAATATATGATTACAACAGTGGTTGTCAAGTCACTTTTTAGATTACACAGAGTAATGTAGGAGTGTTATAATGATGAGTTTTAATTATCAAAGCCTGCAAAAGTGCAAACCTCTGCTAAATGACAAACCAAAGTGACTGAATCAGGAGAAGCAGCCTAAAACTAAAAACTAAACAGGACAAAATAAAAAGTCCCTGGTGAGACGTGAATTAAAAAGAACTGTTTTTTCATGGACAATGACAGATTTTTTTTCCATCAAAGTGACACCTTATCTTCCTGGCCTTCTTCCTGCACTCTGATTTACAGATGTTTGTGGCCTGTAAGAGTGATCTTGGCTCAGGAGAACAAAGGCCATCATTTGAGAGTAAATAAAGCCCAAAGTTGCAGTACCCAAAACCAACAAAAATAAGATCATTTCTTAACCGAAACCTACAAAACTCTGTACATTTGGTGAAATATTGTGTATGGTGTTAGATTATCAAAGGGCACTTCAGTTTTTAAAGGGAATTTAACAACATTTAAGTCTAAAATAGATACTTTACATTTCAGACATTTTGGCTTGTTGCCTCTTGTGACCTCATCAGTGCATAGCTCAGCTTTAAACTCCTGCAGACTCTTCCTGGAAGAGGCTGTATTGACTATTATCTACCATCTGTTGTACACCAACCATCAACAAAGAGCCTTAACCTTTACATTTACTTTCAAACAGAGAACACGAAGTGAACTCCAAAGAGAGGCTCTGTCTGTGAGTCCACAGGTACTGTACCTCATCAACCTCCAGAATCAGACTCCACACCTCCTCCTGGCTGTTGCCATCTCTCATGAACTTGACAAGTGTAAGCAGGCTCTGGAGGCTGGAATTCATGTAACAGATCTGAGCTGGGTTAGGAAACCCTACAAACACCAAAGAATACGTCCCATCACACATCACTCACCATGGTCTCAGACTGAAGTCATGAATTTAGGAAATACGGAATTACTCACCCGAACCAGCTGACCTGCTGAGCTCTGAGAGGCTGTACCCACTGTGTGAGCTTACTGGAGCTGATGTGAGCCTTGTTAGTGCTGCTGAGAGAGACACAAGCAAACAGTAAATACCCATGAACAGCATGAGAGCTTTTAGTGTGTGAGCCCTATGTGGAGACAGTAATCTGCCCATGCTAAGTCACACTAAATTGACTTCATCTGGAAGTAAAACAAAGGTAATCACGGCAGAAACCAAGACTGAGATCTAGGTTATGAATACTTTTGTGGTCCGGAAACATCTTAATGATTCAACGGACTGCTGCTGCTCCTCAAAGTCATCTCAAATAGTCTTATATTTAACTTATTTTGGTTGGATTTAAACCCTGAGTCTGGATTTAAATACTACAAACTTGTAAAATCATCATGTTTTAGCAGCACTTCTTTCGTAACATACCAGAGGCTGACCGAACAGTCTGTACAGCCAGAATAACCCAGGGCCGCAGTTTTCTGCCTCAGTCCCTACAGGGACAGAAACACTGGTGAAAAATAGATGCACTTGGCTATTTTATCAAAATGTTATTTTTAGCGTATAATTTGCATCACAAGTATTAACATGATTTTTTCACGACATTTTTGCTTTGGAAGTTCTCTGAATAATTGTAAATGAGAAAGTGAGTGTTAATAAATCATGTGAGGGACATTTAAAAATTTAAATGTTCCTTTTTAGTGCCCATCATATTTCACACAGAGGCACTGGAGAGAGAATTTTCTGTTTTTATGGAGCCGACCCTGAAACTTGCTGCCGTTCGACGTCAGAACAGCGAGTTCTCCCTGCGGTTTTGAAACTACATTAAAAATCTGTCTCCAATCTCACTTTTCTCTGGAGTAATTCGTCTTCTGCAGGTATTTATTTTGTCTTGTTTAAGTTTTTACTTTTTTAGTTTGTTACATTGATTCAGTATTTTTTCCAGTTCTTTCTTGTTTGTCTTTCATTTATTGATTTCCATCAGCTTCTTGTCTGTTTATGTTAAACCAGGGGCTGTATGCTTTTTTGAATTAAAAGTGCTCCACAAATAAAGCTGGATTGTATTCATGTTTTTGTATAATGTGGTGAGGACAACAACGATGCAAAACGATATTCATCTTCATCTTATCTGTTGCTTTGTATATCATTATAAATAAAAGTCAGGGGGTTTGGGTTTTTAGCAATTCCAGTAGTTTTTAATTCAAATAGATGAACTCAGCAGTTTGCTTCTACTGTTTCCTACATTTTCTGGATTAATAGCAGTTTGTGACAATGGACTTACAATAAATTAAGTTAACTACATTTATCAGTCCATGATAAGATATGGTTTCCAAGTAACTTTTTAGAAGTTAATTTTAAAGAAATCATTAATTTGGAAGTAGTTGTATAAAAACAGAAATTCCTTTGGGAAAAGATCATGTGAGAGTTAAGCAAATACATGAAAGTAAGTCTTTGGACTTTTAATAGACCACAAGTTCTGCTGGAAACCATACAAAATATCAGTGAAATCAATGGAAACATCACAGTGGGACTCTTCATATTCACATCCCAACATCTGCATGTTATTAAAAATCTACTGCATGAACTTTTTTTAAAATGTGGAACTATTAAAGATTTTTTTTAAAAACAACTGTATGACTATTTACTTGTAATGCCATTGGCAGTCATAACTATGCCTAATGACAACATTCCTATATCTTCTTAAAAAAGCAAAGATTTGCTTTTTTCAATGATAGGAAAAGAGTCAGCAATGAGCACATGCCTTTTTTGACTTTCAACAAAAATCATGATTGTAGACACTGATTGACAGGATTGGAGCCAGGCTTTGAAACTCAAATGGAAAATGTGCTAATTTCTGACACGCCCACACTATTCTTTTTTACCTCTGGACAGATGGGGGGGTGTTTTTATGCTTGATTTAAATTGCTTTGCAAAGTTAATGTGCCAAAGTTCACAGCATACTTCCATATTTAACACAGGATATTTATGAGGTGTTCTTAAAAAGCCAAAAGACCAAGAAACGTCAAATTTGTGATCAAGTGAAGGGAGTTGCTGATTGTCGCTTACCTGCCCATCAGGCCTCTTACCTCCAGGATAACTTGTGTTGGAACTTCATTCAGAAATCCAAAGGCTGTGAATTCTCTGATGTTTTTACTCTAAGGCATTCACTGTTTAAAAAAAAAACCATTAAAGCCTGCTGGGAGACACGCTGCAGCCCTGACAAACACAATACATCACCAACAGCAGATGCATTGCAGTTTCTTCCTGATGTGACTCCATTACACAGCTAATTATCACTCGTAATGGGACTATTTTCAGTTCTTCATTAACACACACTGTTTCCTCTTTTCTTTTCTGGAGCTGAGAAAACTTTGTGATCACACTCAACTTTTCAGTGTGACTGCAATAATCACAGAGTTTTACAAGTAGAATAACTCCAGTCATTGCTGCTAAAGGCTTCTGCTTTATTTTTCTGTAATTGGAGTCTGTAGTGGATAGAGAGGCCCTTAAAACTCCTGGTAAACATCAAGTTCTCGCTTTTCAAAATCCAAGTGCAGTGTAATCCTTTTCAGATCTTCCAAAATTAAGAAAATAACAATTAAAAGGATTTGTTAAATGTAGCCGTTTAAACTCAAACTATAAAAAAATGCCCTCCATTTTCATCCAAACATGAGCATGTAAGAGACTATTTTTCTTTTAAAGAGAGCAGTCAGCCATTACAAGGATCTGTTTACACCTGGTATTACCTGGGTAAGTTTTTCACCAATGGACAGCTGTAAATATGTGAGTGGGGCAGAAAATGCTTCACTGTTTGCTGAAGTAAGATCGCAAATAATCACAGTATTTGTACAAGTAAATGGTGCCAGTGCACTGGAACCCCTCATGGAACTCTGGTGATGACTAACTTGCATCATTTATAATTTAGGAAAAACCCCACACACCTTTAATGTGCATGAAAGGATTGAAAAGTACAAAAACAGCCATTACCTCTTTCTCTTTTCAGCCCCTTTTACTCCCTAAAAAAGGGGAAAGTGGTGGAAGTCTTGAACATCTGTAGAGTTATGACAACAGTTAGGTTTACTCCATATATTTCAGACAATGGTTAGCCACAACAGGCAATACCAACACACTGGAGGATAGTTTGCCACCCAAAGCAACATCACTATAAATGTACGGATTAAATTGACAATAGAAGTTGCATAAAACTTCTAAGTCACTAACTTCACTTTTCTTGAACCTGCGCTCAGTCAAGTAGCAGCCAAGCCTGGTCTCTCTGAATTTTCTGCAATTATTGCTCTATTTTTTTATATTTTTATTATGTTTTGTCAACTGCTGATGGATATTTCTGCTGGGAGAAGAGTTTATTCAAAAAAAGATTTTCTTTCATTGAGACAGAGCAAATCTGGACAACAACATCCAATTCCAGCAGACATCTGGGGGATGGAACTCTTCACACATAACTGTCAAGAAGAAGTTGTGTTGTCCAGATATTGAAGTGTTGGCAGTTGCTCTTTGGCCATATTATATTCCTAGGCAGTTCAGTCATATCATAACATCTTGTAGACATCCCACCCAAGGCAACTCCTGAAGTTCCGTGTGATGTTCACCCTGACACTGTTGCTAGGATACAGCCTCAACATCCCGAGACACTAATAATAAGATCGGGAGACTTAAACCATGTCACCCTCTCCTCTCACCTGATTGGATTTAGACAGTGTGTTAACTGCCCTACCAGTGAAAACAAAACCCTGGATCTGCTGTATGCCAACATCAAAGAAGCTTACTGAGCTACTTTTTATCGCCACTGGGCAGATCAGATGAATAACTTGGTTTATCTCCCATTTTTCTGAGATTCCAGACAAACCAATTGCCCTTCGGGGATAGATAAACTTCTTGCATTGTATCGTACATCACTTGAATTATTCTGTATTTTATTAATATTCTCAATCAAATCAGTACAGCAAAAAAAAGGGAGACCAGTGAGGCACAAAATAAACAGAGGCTACAACATTGTCTTTTTTTTTCTGAACAATAACTTTTATTGAAGATGTGTGTGAAGTAGCTTAGTCCGTACTTTATGTACAATGAATCAAAAATAGGTTATTATCATTGTCATTACACCAGCTTGCATGGATACATATTATCATTGGACAATATATACTGTATGTTGGACCGACAGTTGTGGTCTCAATTTAGACGCAATCTCAGAATAGGCAAAATGAAACAGCAGTTCCTCCCAGAGAGCGTTTTACCTTTACTTCATATAAAGAGTAATGAATGAGATATCACAAAAATCAAATTTATATTTAACACTGAACTGATGCTGACAAACCAAGAAGAAAATGAGTTCCATATATGGCCCAGACAATTTAAATCAGTGTTTTTCGTTGTACAACATGAACTCAAATAGTCCCCTTTGGAATAAGATGCTGTTGAAAGGTTCCTGATCAGATATCTAATCCTTATTTAACACTTTAAAAAAAAAGAAAGAGCCTTTTGATTTCTGAGAGTGAAATTGAAGATAGATGTCTTATTTTGGAACAGATCTAAAGTCAGGATGCTTTTGGCCGAGCCTAACATCAACGCTGGAAGCAGAGGGAAACCTTCAGTGACCAGATTTGGACAAGATAAGAGGACTGTGGCTGAGCAAAGGGTTTGAAAGCACTTAGCTACTGTTAGCTTAATTAGCACAACAAATCCATATCGAACCTCATCAATGACACTGGGTCAGATGCTTATTCATGCAAGAAAAAATCATTTTTTCTAACACAGAAGATGCACTTTGAGCATTTTTATCAAACATAACTAAGCCATGCAACAGCCTTGACTCTTCTCAGTCATTCATTCGACCGTAAATAACCCACAATTTAAAACATCAATCTTTGTCAGGTCTATTCTCAAGAAGGAAAAACAACTTTTAAAATGTTTGTTGAAAGGAGGTCGGATCCACTATTTCTGATGAATTCTGGAAAATCTGTAAATCTAAATAATGAGGGTATTTTGTGATACAGCATCAGACAGATCAGTCTCTCAAGTGTGAAAGTTTGATGTAGAACAGACTGTTAGCTTTACTGGCGTGCAGTTATGTTTGTAGAGATAAATAAATTATTCTCCAAAACCGTAACACTCTTTCTTCTAAAACCCAGTCCCCCAAGTGCAGAAAGATATTAAGAGACTATTAATAAAGTGAGGAGAACGCATATTTTTTACATAGACTTATGAAATATTAGACAGCTTTTTCCAACAGGGGGAGTTGTCCCCCTGTGGTCTACTCAGCTTTTGCTTCCCTTTTTAGGAACTTGCACCCCTCTTTAAATGCAGTCAATGAAATCCCCCTGCTTCCAGGTTTT